TTGAAATTCTAGTAAGTAGAGACATAAACTGACTTAAGATATAGCTCATTCCACTTAACAATATCACATTTTTTTATAATTTTAAAAGAAACAACCTGACTTGTGAAAAAATGTTACGGTTGATCCTATATTAATTCCGCATAAACACATTCTTTTTTAACGGCTTAAAACGAAAAATTTTCCAGCTCGATCACTGATAATGAGGATTTTGGCATTTGTAATCACACAAAATAAAGACTTTTGCTCACAGATTTCACGCTATGAATCTTCAAAGTCTCTGTACAAGTTACATGTTCTTCGAAACAAGTAGCCACTTGAATTGTGTGAAGAAGTGTTTTCGGCTCACCTCGAGGCGTCCACGCTTCTTCAACTTGCAGGGTGAAAGCGATGTTTTCTGAATATATGTTAACACTTAGTGCAGATACGTCGTACTTCCTTCTCTCACTACCATTATTGTAGCATTATCTTATTATTCATTACTATTAACCTTCGTTTTCGGGTCACAAGCTTCTTTTGTGGTTTTCACAGCTTTTCCACTGCCGTTTTCTGTAGGTGAAAGAGAGCCGCTTGCTTTTCTTCTTTCGCTACTTTCCGATGCTCGTTCAAAGACCTCATTTGACAAGTTTTTCTTAGTTTCACATTTTACTGTTCGAGAATCATCATTGGTTTCTTCTGCATTCTTCTTTCCCTTTCTCATCTTCACACTATATGGATCAATGTGTCTAAATAAAACTCATATCTTACATAATTCTTCGTCGAAACAGAAATGCGATGACTATTCCATCGGCTAACTTGGGCTTTTTGATATAGAAAAATGCACTGGCGCAAATCAATGCAGTTAGTATTATGATGATAGGTATGGCAATCCAAAACGGTACTGCAATTGGATCTCCAAGACTGACGTGTTTCTAAAAAAACAGTTTGGATAAGTACACGCATGAATCCTACGTCTCACCTTGATTCCTAAATAACTATCTCCAACTTCATGAAAGATATCCTGAGTTTTCTGAAATTAATAGAATGGAAAGTTTGTTCTTTGTCCATAACCTTCTGGAA